TGCTATGAATTGAGACCCAGGGTGATGGGAAACCTGTTGCCTCAGGCAGCATCTCTGCTCGATGTGGTTTGCACCATTTTATACAGCATGTTGCCATTTATTTTTCTCTTAAGCACAGTTCCCCTGTTTAAGAGCCATCTCGCATGTAGCATTTTCTTCAAATTGATCATTGGGATCATTTCTGAGTTAATCACAGGCAGTGGGTAAATCACCACTTCCCTAGCTTCTGGTGCTTAAATTGCCGCCATGACAATGGTATACACACAGGTTTCTGTGTAATTTTAACCCTTTTCAACTGTTATTTAGGAAATCATTTCCTGTTTTAAACATTTAAAAAACAATTGCCCATTCATGCAGTGATGAAGCAGAATGAATATTCATTAGTTTTAATGATCCCAGAAAAGGGTAGCATTCTGCGTTAAGACAACAGAGCCAATGACAGCAATTATAATTCCAGAAACCACATTTAAATAATCTTCTTGTACTTCTTGTCCAAACACATCTTAAAATATGCTCCTTTAAATTGCTGTCGTGCGTTGATAGGATACGGGATGATCTTTAAGTTCACTTATTGAAGGGTAAAATGTCATGTTTTACTCCCAGCTCTTTGTTACATCCCATTTGTCTAGTGCGGGCTGTGGGCTGAGCGATGTTGGCTTATTGTTGTTTCATGATGACAGTCAGACAACACAAGGGGTAGACTAGCAGCTTCTTAAGGACTAACGTGCATCAATCTGGTTAATGATGGTAACTCTGAAAGATGTGAAGAAAGACTCAACAAGAGTCAACAAAAAGGCAAATTGAGGTACATTTTGTTATTCAGTAGAAAAGTGAGGCGATCAGAAACTAGGTCAGCTGATTGTTAATGACCATTGTGTGTCAATGTCTTCTGAATTGTATATCAGAGTATGTCAAACTGTGAGCTCACATTGTGTATAAATAGCCCCTGCTAAAGCTGTAAACTCTTGTTGCACCTATATTGACCACCTCTGACAGATTTCACAAATATATTTTCCTTAATCACTTGGGAAACTTGTCAAGATTAGAGATGGATGTCACTGTCTGTGTAATACATAGACCCTTGCTCCTCGTGACATTCCATCTGTCTTGCTATATTGGAGTGAGATATTTGCCTCCTGCCCTGTCACTGTGTGGCCCTCTAATGAGCGGAGAGTCCTGACAGGCTCTGCCAGGATGTGTCTGGCTCAGCCCATCAGTCCTGCTGAGAGGAGCAACAGGAAGCGGCTCAGCTGAGTGCACCTGGTCTGTCTTTTGAAGCTATTTTTTGCATGAATATGTAGAATAATACGGCTCCAGGTTTAGTTTTAAAGGTAAAGTTTAAAAGGGCTGGTGTACACCATGTACTATATCAAAAATGTGACACAATGACTGGACATAAAATACACACTGTTTTCACACACACAGGCACATAAAATGTACACATGACCAAATATGTATGTTCATTTAAATTCATTTCTTATTTTATAGTTATTTATCATATTTAATTTGTATCTTTGATTTGATCCTTCATTTGATTAATCTGTGTGAACATTTACCCTGTTGCTGTTAAACTACTGAATTTCACCACAGGGATTAATAAAGATCCATCTTATCTTATCTTATATGCACACATGACTTCATGTCAGACGTGTGTTGAGAAGCAGCAGTCTGTCAAAGTTGAAATGTTCTAATTTAATTGAAGATGTTAACAGTAACAGATACCTCTGGTGAGGCCAAATAAAAAAATGACGGATAGATATTCAAGAAAGGAATTAACATTTAGAAGTTACTTCAGAAATCTGTTTTTTTCTCAGCTGTCTAAAGTAAGTTTAAAAAAACTAACGGGTGATGATTATGCCCAATTGTTGACCAACCAATGAAAATGTAAACGTACTTACATAAAGTTACAATGTTTAGGATCATTATTAACTAAATGTGGTTGAGTCCAAGCAAGAAGAGAATCACACCCGAAACGAAAATATGTTTCAGGGGAGACTTGGAGAACTTACTAACAAATCAATCTGTTGTACACACATACAGTATATGGCTCATATATTGAATTATCTTGGCTCATAAAGGCTTGAACAGGTCTGTTGCCTGAAAAATCTTCAAAAACATTGTTGTATACAATTGCTTTTTTTCAGTACTTAGTCTTTAGATATACATCCAGCATTTGTTCTACTCTGGCCTTGTAATTGGAAGATTCTTTATGGTAATTTACACACGATCTCCAACTTCCTTTCTTCTACATGACATTACATTGCATTTAGCTGACGCTTTTATCCAAAGCGACTTACAATAAGTGCGTTCGACCAACAAAATACAAACTTGAAGAAAACAGAATCATATAAGTACATCAGGTTTCATAGAGCTAAAACATTTCAAGTGCTACTCAACTGGCTTTAGATAAGCCAGTCCTTTATTAGTATATAAGTGCTTTGTTAATAGTTCTATCGCTCGAAGTGGAGTCGAAAGAGATGAGTTTTCAGTCTGCGCCGGAAGGTGTGTAAGCTATCTGCTGTCCTGATGTCAATGGGGAGCTCATTCCACCATCTTGGAGCCAGGACAGCAAACCCACGTGTTTTTGCTGATGGGAACTTGGGTCCCCCTCGCAGCGAGGGTACAGCGAGTCATTTAGCTGATGCAGAGCGTAGTGCACGTGCTGGGGTGTACGGTTTAACCATGTCCTGGATATAGGAAGGGCCAGATCCATTCGCAGCATGGTACGCAAGTACCAGTGTCTTGAAGTGGATTCTAGCAGTTACCGAAAGCCAGTGAAGGGAGCGGAGGAGCGGAGTGGTGTGGGAGAATTTAGGAAGGTTGAAGACCAGACGAGCCGCTGCATTCTGGATGAGCTGCAGAGGTCGGATGGCACATGCAGGTAGACCGACCAGGAGGGAGTTGCAGTAGTCTAGGCGTGAGATGACGAGAGCCTGGACCAGAACCTGACGTCGCTTTCTGGGTCAGCTGGGGACGTATCTTCCTGATGTTGTAAAGCGTGTATCTGCAGCAGCGGGTTGTAGCAGCTATGTTTGCAGTGAAGGACAGGTTGTTATCTAGGGTCACACCCAGATTCCTTGCAGTCTGAGTCGGGGAAACAATAGAGGTGCTGATGTTGATTGTTAGGTCAAGAGTGGGACAATCTTTTCCCGGGAGGAAGAGCAGTTCAGTCTTGTCAAGGTTGAGCTTGAGGTGGTGAGCAGACATCCACTGAGAGATGTCAGCTAGACAAGCAGAGATGCGTGCAACGACCTGGGTCTCTGAGCGGGGAAAGGACAGAATTAATTGGGTGTCGTCAGCGTAGCAGTGGTATGAAAAACCATGCGGGCTAATGACAGGTGTGATGCCTTTTGCCTTATACTGCATTGCATTAGCCTTAGAGATGATACAATCTCCAGGGGCCTTTGTTAAGAATCTTGCAGACCAACCATTGTAAGCTCATCTTGGAATCATATTTATACAATTTTGCTTATGAATGTTTGTATAATCAGAACAACTCCTCACAAAGTATGTGCAATAACCCTTTGTTGTGGTGTTGTAAAGTCTTATAAAAAGTAAAGTTGTAAAGACAAACACACAATGCCATATTTAACTATATTAGCATTCTAAAGAGAACAAGGAAATGTTGTTTAGTGTGGAGTTCAGTCACATTGACCTTTCTTACTTCCTCCTAGCAATGCCTCCGACTAATGACATGTTTTCTTTCTGCATTAATGATTAACTGTTACACTTGAACTACATTATTCTTTATTAAATCAGTGATTATTTTATGTTCCAATTGTTAAAAGAAGTGCCACAATTAAAATGTAATTGCTCTCCTTTATAGTGATCGACCCTCAGAGAGTTGAGGACCACTTTGTGAATAATGGCACTATTTTAGGTAACACTTTATTTTGATAGTCCATATTTAACACTCTATAAGTCATCAGTTGACATTTAGTAGCATGTCAACAGCGTATTAACCAATATTCAACCTTACTATCTGTATATTGTGTCAACATCTTCAAAATTGACAATCAACTACTCAAAATCAATCTGTCAGTTGAAAGTCAACAGGGTCATGTTGACTATCTGTTGATAATCTGTTGAGAGTCAAGATGTCAACTAAAGATTACATTAAGCATTAGTTGGTGATCAACAGATAAGCAACTTTAGAGTTTAGTTGACTTTCTGTTGATCGTCAACTAATCTAGAGTTGACTATCTGTATACTTTTAGTAGGCATTCTCCACTAAGCGTTTGTAGGCATGTGTTAGGACTATCCAATTAAAGTGAAAAACAGTTGAGAACAGTAGGAAAGTCTATAACCTATCAACAGAACACATTCATCCACTAATTATATGCAACAGACATGGGAATAAAGCAAAATGTTTTGCAAAACTGATCACAAACTTTATGTATTCATTATGTATGTAATGTTTGAGTTAGAAACACCTGTTCCTGTTTTATTTGACTAATATATAAGATAAATACAGAAGCCTAATGCATTCACTTGAGAAAAAAAGGTTTTTCACAAGAACTCACAATCTACAGATAGTAAGGTTGAATATCGGTTAATAACCTGTTGCAAAAAACATGTTGACAGTCAACAGACACTTTTTGTAAAATCTATAGATCAACACTTGAGATGTACCTTATATTCTACTGGCAGTTAGTTAAATGGATGTTACTTGTCTGTTGAAACAGTGTTGTTGAATGTCAACTGATGACTTGTAGAGTGTTAACTATGGACTATCAAAATAAAGTGTTACCCTATTTTATCATCTATGGTTGGAGTGGTTCTCTGCCCCCACTGATTTTGTGTGTGTGTGTGTTGGGTGGGGGGGGGTGATCATCTAATTTAAGGACTGATAATTGAGGCCTCCACATCCTTGTCTGTGACCACACAAAAATAGGGTTCAAATCCATCTTTTAAGGAAATACTCATTTTGTCTTTGTGTCTCATCACCCACCCTCATCTCTCTCTTGCTCTTAACATCTCATCCTGTTTCTGTTCCCCAGGCTGTGTTTGATGTGGATACGACAAAAGGCCTGACTCTGATAGAAGTATGGGAGGGACTCACTGCTGAAGATATCAAAGCATGCACTGGCACAGATTTTGAGGCAAGTATTGATTGCTAGCATTATATTCCATTTTCTAACTTAGTATCATAACCATGTGACATCTTTCTTCCTTATTAACGGTCTGCTGTCTTTTTAGGTGTCTCCCAACCTGAGGTCCATGCAGCAAATCTAGAGGAACATGCAATGGTTTTGGCTTGTGTACACTCATTTAATTTCTCTTTGGTGACCAGATAGTGTTTTAGCAGCCAGAGACATGTCAAATACTGTTTAAACAAAAATGTTAGGTGCAGTTCCCTACTTTTACCATTAAGTTATTCTTTTTTTTTTTACTAGTGCGTATGTATAGATATTACCAAATAATCCATCTGAATTGACATCTGGAATACTCTTTATATGCTCAGGGAGAAAAATGCTAATTTACCAGTGCTATGAATAAAAATATACAAATACTTGAAGATTACTGTAGACTGTAGATTAGAGGATTTTGCACTAGGCACAAAAGGGAATATGATTGTGCTGTATTTGTGGTAATACACCAAGTAACAAAAGAGTCTTTGGATTATATCATCTAATGTAAGATATCATATTATTTATTCTCCATTTGATTGACAAAGAAGATGCAATAATGACATGTGTCATAACAAACACTGTCGCATTGTCAAACTGTTTTATGGACTGTATTTTCTCTGACATATTTGGTGTGCAATTACTTATTTATTTAAAATAAAATGTTTTTTGCTCAGCGTAACATATGTATTTGTTTTTCTCTAAATCTTAATTTCTGTATAACAGTATCTGGAAAACCAACAATAGTTGGATTGCTTGTTGAAATTAGTCATCAAATCACACAATGATTTAAAAGCATTATGAGTGCTTTGAGAGTGATTGTTTCTGACACTTTACAGGTTAGTGCTTCCTATATATGGGTGGTATGCTTGCATTGACATCCTTGATGTTATTTATTTATTTCTCCTTATTTCGTCGAGTAAAGGCGCTGCCATTACCTGAGGGTTGTTACATAACTGGATAAATCAGCCTCTGGGCTTTTGGGTTCAAGAAGATCAACTGGATTGGATCATCAAGCAGAAAAATGGAAGAAAGTGACAGGAGCTTTTGCCACCGGCTGTTGATGTTAATCCAGCGCATCCCTTCATGAGTCAAACAGAAGTGGTACCCATCTACATTTAGAAACCTATTTCTCATACATGAACTGAGGTGCAATTATAATTAATTGTAAGAAGCATATAGGCTTTAACACAAACAAAAAGCATTAACTTGATTTTTATTCATCACAAATGTAAAAATTGCGTGGAAGTAATTTTAGTGTACATGGTGGCTGTTTTGGCCTGAGGTTGGTGGAAAGCAATCAGAGTTGGTTTTTGATGTTTTATGGGAGCAAGTTTGCTTGTGGCCTCCCCAGTTATTGTTGTAATTGTTATTTTAATGATTTTCACAATGCATCATTTATGGATGTAGCCCCCAACCATGAAAAATGATAATCAATAATGAACATAGACTATAGTGATATTCTGTCTATTATCTAGGCAAAACATATTTGACAGCCTATACACCTGAGGAATTTCTCTTTATGCAGTTTGGTGTAAATATGGATTTATTATGAGCACAGTCGTTACAGAGGCAATTAAAGCATAACATGCCCTCGATGTTTCACTGGACCCAGGTATAACATGCAGCGTGTCTATGCGATGCTCAGCACAGATGCATACATTCTAATTATTAAATTATTCGAATGTTTTTCAGCTTCATGCCGTGACCTGAATAACTAAGGTGGCTAGCTCAGTATCATCACCACATTGCTTATATCAGTTATTCATTGTCATTTCCGTTTTAACTGCAGTGATAATTAATCATATGGCTCTGTCCTGAAATTGTATGACCTCAAACAATATAATTAATTTTCAGTATTTGGATATTTAGAGCTAAAATTATTTTTTTGCTGATTCCTTATCCTTTTGTAGAGAAATAAAGACCCAATGCTCGTCTCGAAAACTGTACTAAATGTTAAAAATATTGAGAGAGAGAGAGAGAGAGAGAGAGAGAGAGAGAGAGAAGAGAGAGAAGAAGAAGAGAGAGAGAGAGAGAGAGAGAGAGAAGAGAAGGGAGAGAGAGAGAGAGAGAGAGAGAGAGAGAGAAGAAGAGAGAGAGAGAGAGAGAGAGAGAGAGAGAGAGAGAGAGGAGAGAGAGAAAAAAAAATGCGTGTGTGTATAGAGAGAGCGAGCGCTATCCAGGTTGGCGCAGGCACCGGTCCGGTAGAACGGAGCGTTGTGCACGGTGGCAGCATGGCTTCGTCTCACGGGAGAAACGACATGCGGTTCGCTGACTGGATGTCAAGTTTACCGCAGAGCATGCACACTCTTCCGCTCACCAACCTGGCTATTCCCGGTACGTGTTTATTTCATGTTGATCAAATATAATCATGTGAGGAGGAAATTATGTTCTTCTCTTTCTATCCGCGCGCATTGTCTGTATCTATCCTGGTAGGTGGGAACTAAATAAATATGTTAGACCATGAGTTTTAACATTAAACATGTATATCTGCTTTCAAACGTTGATGTTTTACTATACCCCGTGCAACTCGGCTGTAGTTTCATTGTACCTCGTTAGGGTGAGACCTGTTGCGCAACATAATAAATGTCCTTTATTTTCAATAGTTGGGCTTTCTCCTGCAATAGTCCGTTTTCTCAAGGTGATCAATAATACCTTATGTATTGCTTGCCTATATCTAACTTAACGATGAGAAGCCCTGACACATTATATAGATGAATGATAGACAGATGACCATGCTGCTCTGTTTTGTGTAAGACTTTTGGCGTCTGTATGGGGTGGTGGATTCACTCAGATGATCTGTTTTAGCTTTAGCCAAACAGTGTTTAGGATTCCTTAAACTCCAATAAAGTATGACACTGGTTGTAAATCACACCTCTGAATGATGGAATGGCATATTAGAAGAATTGTATATCTGCTGCGTGGTGATTATGAAAACATTACACAAAGCTTTTTCATTCTTAATTTTCTAATTTTCCAGTTTTAATCTTTAAACCTCCGCCCCCCCACTCAACATATCTCTCCTCACTTGTATGCTGTTGCACTAGATACCTGGTATATTTAGGGGTATTGCATGTGCAATGATGGGTTTTCAGATGCAGATAGCTTGGACCATATAGTGTCCAATGAGGTATGACAAATAGACACATGCAATACATCATAGATTTAATCAAATACTGACTGTTATACAGAAGCAGCATGACATATGACCTCATGCATTTTGGCTGAATCACAGGACATGTTCATTCTTGCCAAGCCAGCATGTAAGCCATCATTTCTTATTGGCCCTGCAGATCAGATCAGATGTTCTTTGTCTTTCATCCCTTTGGAGATAGATTCTGTTAACATCCTCAGATTCTTTGCACTTTCTTGTGTTTGTGTTTACCCATCTGGCATAAGGTTTCTTAAAAAGCATTGTTATCAATTGTTTCAGCAACACATGTGTTCTTATTGGAGTGTATGTCTGGAAGTGAGTCTCATATCACTTCCTTTTGTCTCATCTAAGAATGCAGCCTTTGTTCAAGCAGAATTGAAACTAGGACAGACAAAAGAGACATCTGTTTTATCTTAGTTTCACTTTTCCTTTTAGTTAAAGAATATTATGTTCATCATAAAGTTTCCTGACATACACTCCTTAGCATCCACACACTGTTGCCTGTAATTCAGTGATGCAATTTATTTTCAAGAATAAAAAAAAAAGTTATCCATCCGACAGTCTCAATGATTCAGGGCCAAGTGTTTTGGCAGTTTGGAGTAATCTACCATGCGTGGGTGATGTGATGGCGTTGTGCTCTGCTGTTGCCAAAAGCCCCCACTGTGTCTGAATTGCCGGCATTCCACAGCTGTACTCATTAATATACATAATCTGTATGATTGGGAGTGAATTTAAAAAGGTTTCACAGTGATAGAAAATACTAGCATTGCCTGTTCCCTGGACCAGGCCATGACTATGAGGTCGTCTAGGCAAAAATAAAACTCTCATGCCGTGGACGTGCGGTTTGAGTGCAGAGGTCACACATTTGCTGAACGTGCGTGGGGATAGGGAGTAGCCGAACTGTAATCTGTTGTACTCGTCTCGTAGGCTATCCCCTGGAAGGCAAAACGCAGATACTTTCTGTGCTCTGGAGCAATTTCCACATGAAAGTATGAATCTTTCAGGTCGATCGCCCGGTTGCATTAACTGTTTTATAACATGCGGAATTTTCTGCAGGCAATATGGCGATTCAGGCTGCTGAGATCTAGAATAGATCTGAATTCCCCTGTCTTCTTGAGAACCAGGAAGTGGAAAGACCCTTTTCTCTGTGCTGAGGGTGCACAACAGACACCGCCTGTTTTTGCACCAGAGCCTGAATCTCTGCTGAGAGGAAACCCATCTCCTCCTGGGATGACAGATTTACCTCTCGCATGCCTTTGAATGGAGGTGGGATGCTGCAAAACTGGAATGAATAACCCCGTTTCAGCGTCCTGTCCATCCACTTTGTTAACACACAGCTTAGTTTCCATTCCCGATAACATTGTTATGGGGAATGGCCCTCAGCTGTGAGCCGCAGCGATGAAGCTGTGATACTCTCTGGTGACCCGTTCCGCCGCAAAACTCCCCGTGAAGGGAAGTTTTGCCCATGGAGGGTCGACACAGAAAGGGCCAACTTTTTACTGAGGTCCCTGAACACACCGCCGCGCGCTCTTGTGTGAGTGCGCGCTCCACCATAATGTCCCCTTTACCACTACGGTAAAGCGCATTAATCGGAGTCTTTACTCTAGGCGTAGTGTGTTCCCTGACAGTAATACGCCGGCCATAATGCCCCTATACCCGCATAGCGCTCTGATAGCACTTCCTGGGAGCTCCGTGCCGGCGCCTCTCCCTCCGTCACACCGTCGCGCTGCGCTCCCTTGCCTGCAGGGAAGCCCGCAGAGGAGCGCGCTGCGGCGCCTGAGGAGGAGCCAGCGGTAACATGCACCCTCTCCTCCTCTAGGCGCTGGGTGACCGAGGATATCGATCCAAAGAGCCCTTCCGTGGACACGGGGGCTCCAAGGAGATCCTCTCGGTCCTTCTTGGATAGGGCGGTGAGTCCTAGCCACACGTGATGCGACGCCACTGCGGCCAAGGACATCACCCGCCCGCTGCGGCGGCCACTCCATGGATCAGATTGTTCATCTTACCTATGCAGTGGTCTGGATAATTGCTCTCGTCCTGAGGCGGGAGGGCGGGAGCGTCTGCTTGAGGAGTAATCAAGTAGACGACAAACACGCTGAGATTATTGGCCCCAGCCGCCATCTGTGCACCGAGCCTGAACATTTTGTCTAAATATTCCAGGGTGTCTCGGTCCTGCGGCAGAGGGGGTTGAGGTTTCTTCCTCTCCGCCCGACCAGCTGCCTGCGGAAGCAGATGGGCCGCCAGGCTTTCATCGAGGGGGGGCACACCGGGACACGCCATGTCCGAGCGGCCCTGCACCCTGATGACACCCGTCATGGCTGCTACTGGGGCCTTCGTCCTCAATGGCCGCCGCCACGTCGCCTCCACACACTGCCAGATATCTGGCAATGGGTCGAGACGAAGGCCGGCTGCGCCGGAAGCACGGGGCTGTAAAAACCCTGCCGAAGGTGGCTTACAGGCCTCGGTGGCAGCGGTGGGGGGAGCGGTAAGCCCACACGCTCCGCCGCCAGGGTCATCACCGCCGGGAAGTCC